AAAGCCTTCTTGTACTGTGCACTTTCTGGTAGACTCTCTTCAGAAACACTTTGCCCCAGCCCATCATCCTTTCTCCTGCTAGGAGCCTGTTTAAACCCTTTAGCTGGGAAGCCCAGCTTCTGGGTACTGTTCTCTCAGAGCGGATGGACTGCTTCTTTGTGCCATCAAGGGGGTTTGTGTGACCTTCTCTGGGGGTAATGGCGAGCGAAGTCAGAGATGTTGACTTTTCTGCCGAGAAGGCGCGGGTTTGGTAGATAAAACATATTACTGAAGGGGTGGCCTATTGTAAATACCTAGAATCAAATAACCGGGTCCCAGAGAGGTACCAGGAGCTCAGTGTCCTACAGCATTTGCAAAGGCATGGTCAGTTGAAACTGAAGCTTCAGGAGGGAAGTAGGTAAGCTTAGTATGGGCCATTCTCCTGATAAAATTGATACTCTATTTTTTTAGTTTGATGACAAGAAATTACAATTCAGATACACGATCGTGCATTTGCAGTCTTGAAATAACATTGCCTTAAATTCCTTTCAGAAGTACTCATATAAAAATAAACTTCGCAGTGAAACTCAGGCCTTGGAGTACAGGGTTACAACAAAGGATGCGCTCTACCTTACAAAGATCGATCAAAGATGATTACAAAAGCAGGCAGCTGACTACTGCATTTTCTGAGGTGTCTGCTAGAGAAGATGACTTTCTAAAGAACAATGTAGTAAAAATCCCAGATACTCATTGCCGGAACTACCCAGCTAATCTTACGTAGGAGTTTACTTGATTACTGAGGGGAGTGCCACTAAAGCTCTCAGCTTCTGAGAACTGTAATTGTTAAATTCTCCAAGGTGTATCCTAAAGCTTAGTCTCCACTCACTGAGTTCAGCAGCGAGCCAGCTAAACACGAAGAGACTGCCACTACGAGGGATTCAAGGATAACTTCACACTAGTTTGGTACGCAGCTCATGAAGTGGCATAAATCACCATGTCAAAGCTTACAATAATAAACCTACAACACCTGTTAAGTCTGAAACATAGCACAGAATTCCCTTTAACCCAAGCAGAAGATTAATGTAACTAGGCAAGGTACAGGAATGGCAAGCAAATTCCTTGCACCCAAGATTGTGATAGAGCCTATCCTTTTTTTTAATGATTGTGATTATCTTACCTTCATAGGAAGACATATTCCGAAGGTTCATGCTAAGATACTAGTATGTACTAGGTTGCACCAGCTTTCTAATACATGAAGACAAAGAGCTACATATGAATATACTAAAAGCATTACATTAAGGTGCTGGATTCAACTCCTGGAAGTCAGCACAGAAGACTACGCCCTGGTCAGACTTTGCAGCTGTTGGACTATACTATCTGCTACAATATGAACTGGAAAAATCTGTGCTTTTTCCTGAGTTCCCCAATCACTAGGGATCTAGAAATGATTTCCGCACAGTACATCTGAGTAGACACGATGCTAATTTAAATGGGTTCACTCCAGTGTGATCATGAACACATCAAAACTAGCTGTCTAGTCTAGATTCTGCCTGCTGCACAAAGAACGGATTCTGCAAAGAGAGAATCTTCCCTGCAGAAGAGATGAAATGGTATGCTCTATCTGCAATACATCTGCCATGCTTTCTGTGTCAATAACTTAACATCAATCTTGCACCATCTCTCCAGGAAAAGTTCTCCGAAACTCTCCAGAATTATAAATGGCCGCTGTCATTCAGCTGATAATTTGTTTTCCACAGGCAGAAGTGACAGCAAAACTCTATTACTCATTCAGTCCAGGCTTCAATAGTTGAACGCTGATAACAGCTCCAGTGCGTGGACCTTGGATCCTTTAACAAAGCAAACGTAACCTGGTCTCACTTTTCCACTCAATTTCAGACTGTGCTGGACTGTGCTGATTTGCAGCCTGTTCTGTCCTGGAAAAGAGCCAGTATACCCCAAAGGCTACCTTTCTTCTTGTAACGCATAGGACAGAGAGACCATGGATGCTTGTGTGAGGTCCTATATTGCAGACAGGACATAAGGCAGCATTTTATTGCAGTTTGAGATATGCAATTTCAGACACGAATGCTGAGCCTGATTTTCTTCTATCCCTGCTCCAGAGGATGTTTTCAAGAGTCTTGTAGCCACTGCCTATGGTGCAGTAGAGCTCAGGGCTAAGACTGCATTTCACGGAGACCACTATAAACTTAAAAAGCCCACACCTGGACCCAAAGGCTGTACACTGTCTTCTCTAATTCAGTTTAACAACGTCCTTATTAATGGAGTAGAGAGGAGAGCAAAAAAGTTAACAGGACCTATCAGTGCAATAATGTGACAATAACTAGGTTTCCATTCATAGATGTGAATACTCATAGCCAGACAAGAGCTGGATGAGAACCAAGATTCACTTTCTCCACAAAGCAGGACCCATTCATACCAGTGATGGCCCACTTACACCACAAGCAGTTTGATACTCCAGGTGTCTGTTTGAGACTCCTCAGAAAGGATGTTTAGGTTATCTTTAGGCCCAGGCTTAGTGGACCGTTACACAGTAGTCTTTGTATCACTGCATTTAACTGCAGTCTGTGGTTATCATGAGACAGAAAACACAGCAAGGATTGCCACTGTCTTCTTGCCATTTTCTCTGCAGTCCCAGTTCCTATTGCTTCAATTGCTGGCAAGGCTGATCTCCCTGGTGCTTCTGCCAAGCAGGATTACTACTATTGCCTCAATCTGTTACAGCTGTTGGTAGACTTCCACCACTGCTCTCTCATATAACTTATCAGGAGTTTTAAATCACCATCTGGGCACAGCTACTGTATTCCCAGTCTGTGTCACATACATAATGGTCTGTATATGCCCTTCGACCCTAGATAAAAGACTGCAACAAATTCTTTTTCAGTTAAAGAAATCATATTTATTTTAAATATAGAAAACAAACACGACAGAGGAATCCAAGCCTTTACAGAAAAAAAACAATACGCGCCTTCAGATCAGGCACAAGCGTTTTTCTACTCCTTTAGATCAGGGGAAAACCCACTGTCACCTAGAGAAGGTCTGTCATTCCCTCCACTCCCTCAACTCCAAAATCTGGGATCTCTACCAACTTTGCTCACTCACTTCCAAGAGACCTACCTCAATCACTCATCCTGTCTCCTAGGTAAGAGCCCTACCTAAGTCTATTAAAACAGCTCATACCCGTTGACTGATGCTGAAGACCTGTATTGCTACTGGGTTGCAGAGCAGAGATAGCTACTTCTGGAAAACAGCCTGTGCATTTTTTACACTAATGCTTACATGTTGCATAAATTAAGCAATCAGTGTCCAACAAGTGCGGAACTGCAGCTGAGCTCACTTTGCTGGTTAAAGCAGCTCTATAAATACTGTATTATTGCTCCAAAAGAACTTTGGAAAAAATCATTTGAATAAAATAAAATTTAGTATTTCACTGCTTACTTTAGACTGGCGTTAGATAAGAGTGATGGAGACAAAAGAGAGTCTGTTGGAGGAAAAGCCATGTTCCTACTACCCCTTTTGGGTGTTCATGAGACATCAGACTATTGCGACATCAGTAATATTGCAATATGGCAATGCAGGAGCCAGACTAACCCAAAGCACATTGTTTTGCAATACTACAAACATGTTAATATGACTGGCAGGAGGAATGAAACTGTCACCACAAAACTAAATCTCAGAAAAACAGATGTACATCACGAGTGGGTAGTTTATATATTGAATGTATGTAATGGTTTAAGGAAGACCATCCAATTTTCATTAAACTAATAATAAGAAATGTTATATTTGAGGTACCTTTATGTTTTGATTCAAAATGTCTAGATAATGCAGATTTTTTTGGAATAATGTGATCATATATGACATCAGTGAAGTCAGGCTCTGGTTTTCAAAATATGTGCTAAGTTAATATTAATTTGCACTATGCTTACTATTTTAGTCTACCACTAATCCTTAACAACACTATGACTAATTATTATACTGCAAGTGTAATGTCAACTAACTGACACCTAACAGTGTATTTAGAAATCTGCAATTTAGGAAGGCATATGTAAGTTTTACAATTTGGAGATAAAAATGGCATGGTTGGAGAGAAAAGAAACCGTTTTCTTGAGATCTCCAATATCTGGTTTTTCTTGAGTGAGATTCTGAGTATCAGAATCGCTCAAGTCTGAGTTTTGTTCAAAAACTTGAGTGATAACTTGTTGCAAAATCATTTTCCTACCATGCAAGCATAAATTATTTCCAATAATAAATTTCACTGTACACACTAATAGGCTGTACATAAACCAGAAACTGATACTTTTAACCAGCCTGTATTTATCTTCACCTCTTTGTTTAGTGTTTTGCAAGATGTAAAGGGTTGCTGTGGATAACTGTTCCTCCACCTCATGTGTTCTCATTTTGCAGATCTTGCAGATCTCACAAGGATGAATGCACTCTTCCATTGTATTAAATATTTATACAAAGACCTGAGAGAACTGATGTAGCAACCTATGTGAAATAAGCAGCAATACTGCAATAAGTGTTACATCTTCTGACTGTTAAATCTAAACAAAAAACATACTCCAGCTTTCCTGTGCATCCCAAAGACAGCTGCCTCAAGCAGAGTCCAGGCAAACTGAGAAATATGCTGACAAGAGAAGCACTTTCAGGAGTTTGCCTCTCCTCTGAATTCACATTTCCTGGGAATGCTAAAATATATGCTGTGAGGTTGGTCAGTATGCCCAATAGTTAAGAATGACAAAAAGCATCCACTTTCATTTACAACAAGCCAAGATACCCTATTCCACGTCCTTGCATGGATATTGCCACAGTAATCCATTTATGGATTGATTTATTTCAAAAAAGTATCTAGGAAGAGTAAGAGCTGCAGTGAAATACGTGCTACCAAGTACTTCTGCCAAACAAGAAATGCGTTGAAAGACTAAGCTGAAACCTCACGGCTGTCAGTGTCCATTATGGGCCGGGGACGTTGCCACCAGGGACACCTCCATCCCTCCACCACGATGGTGACGAAGACTTACGCTCTGCCCTACGTGAACGTGGAAGGTGCTGAACGGTAAGCGAGAGATACTCAGAGACTTGTGATTTTGAGCAACTGACCTTTCCGCGTGAAAGGAGGAGAGAGCGAACTTTTTTCCTGGAAACAAACGCAAGTTCTGGGATTTACCACCAGACCAAGCGCAACGGCCACGGAGCCCACGTTGCGCAAGTAGCGCGCACGACCCTTGCGCGGCAAGCCAAGCTTTCCCGCTAGCCCCACGGCCACCTGCTGCTGCTGTGGCCGGCCCCGC